AGCCTTTCCCTGGTTCTGTCCCTGTCCCAGAGAGAAGGAGCTGCAGCCCATTGAGGTCTGATCTCAATGTGTTCTGCTCCAGCTGAACAACCCAAATGACCTCAGCCAGCCCCTGTGTGACCCTCCAAACCCTTCACCATCATCTCCTTTAAATCCTTTCTAACACCTCTTAAATGCAGAACAGTATTAAGAAATTATTACACTTTAAAGAGGAACGCCAAGAATTCAGACAGAATCCCTGGCAGCAATTTTACAGAGAACTCCATGATTAAAACTCGAGCATGATGGGTAGTGCTGAAGTTTCCACTGCAGTGGAAAAATATCAGTGCTCACCTGATGAGCAGGTGGGGACTGGCAGCAAGGAAAGCAGGGGTGGTGCAAGAGAGAGCTGCAGGAGCTGGGTGAGAACCCCTGGATGTGTGACACGTTCCTGCTCTCGGGCCAAACACCCACCTCAAGTATGTGCTGGTGGCAGGTGGCCCTGGATGAGGACACAGATTAGGAGCTGTGGCACAACAGCCTTACTGGAAAGGAGCTGGGCAGGGTGGCAGGAACCACCCTGGGCATGAGCCAGCAGGGTGCTCTCCCTGCAAGGATGGAGAACCCCAGCCTGGGCCACAGGAGAGGGCAAGGGCCACCAGGCTGGTGTCAGCCCTGCCAAAGGAGGTGACATCTGGATGCTGTGTCCATTGTGGAATGCCTGGTGAGAGGGATGTGAGGATGGTGACCTCCACAGAGGCTGAGGAGCTGTCAGTGACCTGCAGCAGGAGGTGGATGGAGCTGAGCTTGCTGGCTCTGGCCATGCAGTGAAGTTTGAGGGGCTCTCCTTGACCCTGATGCCTTGAGAAGGCTGGCCTAGGAGAGAGGCCAGACAGAGTTAAAGAATAAAGCAGGAATTTATTAAAAGGATCTCCTCCATGGATCCACCTTGGGCAGCACAAGAGCCCAGCCAGGGCTGACCCAAGGTGAACCAAAATGGGCACAAAATGCACAACCAGTCATGGGATCTGTCACTTTGATCAGTTCTGCTCCATTTGCATCTTGGGGTTCATTGTCCAATTATAACTTCACGTTATGCAGTCTCATCCTGTTTGTTTTTCTCTCTTCATTCCACGGTTGTTTGTGCTCTTGGGCCTGAGATTTGGATCATTTGTCCTTGGTCCCCAGCTAGAGCAGGAATTGTTTTGTCTCCCTGCTCTGTGCACAGAGCTCACCATCCCTTAATGTGAAGCCTGGACTTACTCACTAAAGCAGCACAGAATTTGAAAACTATAAAAGCTAAACCTGAGGCATCAATCCCATCCAGCCTCTGCAGTGGTGGTGCTTCAGCAGGAGCTGCACATGACCTTTGGGAGGCTGGAGCATCTTATAAGACCCATGGCAATGTCCTGCTCTCCAAATGCTGCAGGACTCTGGGGTGCAGCCTTTGTCTTGCCCCTTCCAGGGCCTCCGGATGAGTGTGGCCAGAGCTGCTCTGCCCTTTCCCTGGAGTGTAGATTTCCATGTTCTGTTTCCTCAGGAAGTGGAAGCCAGAGGTGTCTTACTCAGCTTCAGTACCCCAAAACCAAAGTCACCCTTTGTGATGGTGTTCACAGGGGTCTCAGGATGAGGGAAGAGACAAGGATCTGACTCCATGTTTCAGAAGGCTTGATTTAATATTTTTTATATATATTACATTAAAACTATACTAAAAGAATAGAAGAAAGGATTTCATCAGAAGGCTAGCTAAGAATAGAATAGGAAGGAATGATAAAGGTTTGTGGCTCAGACTCTCTGAGCCAGCTGGGCTGTGATTGGTCATTAATTAGAAATAAGCAACATGAGACCAATCACAGATGCACCTGTTGCATTCCACAGCAGCAGATAATCATTGTTTACATTTTGTTCCTGGGGCCTCTCAGCTTTTCAGGAGGAAAAATCCTAAGGAAAGGATTTTTCATAAAAGATGTCTGTGACAACCCTTCACCTCCAAACCTGTAAATGACAAACCCCTCCTCCAGTGTGTGTTTATAGAAGTGGGACAAACTGACAGACCTACTTGGACACCTCTCAGGCCCGTTCCAGGCTGACAGACAGGAGACCTTTCCCTACTGACCTTTCACTGCAATTCCCAGAGCAAAACAATCTAGGAAAGAAGGGCAGGAGGCAGCCTGCCAGCCCTGGCACGGGGCATGGAGAGGGAGAACTCTCCCTGTTGGCAGGAGCGGGCACTCAGGTGCTCCTCATACCTTCCTGCAAGGGTGTGAGGAGCAGGGATGTTGTGGTGGGCTGGCACAGCTCCATCCCCCAGCCCAAAGTGGGGCAGCTGGAGGCAACTGGGAGAGCAAAAGTGGAAAACTGGGTCGGGATAGACAAGGTATGGAGTGTTGCTATGGCAGCTGGGCTGGGGCCCATCCCTGAGCAAAGGGAGCTCCATCCCAGCCTGACCCAGAACAGATGTTTTCAGTCTGTTGCCTGAGATTTAATCTCCATCTTGCATGCGGCACCTTTGTATAACAAGAAGAATCATAATTTCATTTCTACACCCCAGCTACGGGAAATGAATAACCTAATTATGTCTCTTGTAACAAATAAATAAAAGCACCACTGAAATGGGATGCTGGAAACTTTCTTCAGCAACACCAATTAAGCCACTCAATGGAAATCACCTCCAAACTCTGCCTAAACAATATTTAACTGGCCTCCACAAACAAATTCTGGGGAATTGCACTTTCTAAACTGTGCTGTTACCTAATGATGAATATGCCCTGCATCCCAGGGTGTTTACACTTGCCACCCCACCCTGCAGCCAGTTCAAATAGAGCTGTTTCTGTGCCCCAGCCAGGGGACAGAACCCATCCTGTGGCACTGCCACATCTCCATCTCCTCCAGGCTGGGCATCTCTTCCNCCTGCCCACCTGGAGGCGCCACCCAGCAGGAGCTGGGGCGGTGTGACACTGTGACACCTTCCAGAAGATGCTGCTGGATCGCCCCCAACACCTGCTGTGAGGAAAGCGGGATGCTGTGCCCGGAGCCAACAGCGCTGGGGATGGTGACACTGCGTGGTGACACTGCATGGTGACACTGTGTGGTGACACTGCCCCAGGAAAACAAGCTGCCGTCCCCAGAGCCCCGAGTGTGGGCAGCTCCGGGGAGGATCCGGGTTATTCCCCTTGCCCAGCTGCGGGGCTGGGAGGAGATGTTCCAGAAACCGTGTGACAGGATCGCTGTGGAATGGGGGACACCAGGAGGGGACACTTTTGGCAGAGGCGCTATCAGCAGAGAGGTGTGAGGCGCTGCAGGGCTGGTGATGCTCCTCTCCAGAGGGAGCTCCGAGCTGACCTCAGGGCAGGTGCTGTGACACGAATCAACGCGACACAGCGGACACCCTGCTCTTCTCAAGGTGTGAAAAATCACTTCTTTTTAAAATTTTAAAAATTTAATAGCAATAAAATAATTATAAAAATTGTAATACAATTAGAGTAATAATAATCTGCATAATTTGAATTAGGACGATATGAGACAATAGAAACAAAGAGTTAGGGACAGTCCGGGTACCTTTTTCTGGGCAAAATAAGCCCAAAAAAGGATCCACATTAACAGAGGATTAACCCTTACAAGCAACAGCCTGTTGCATATTCCTACACCTCATCCATGATGCATAAATTCCATTCAAACACAGGATTCTGTCTGGGCAGTGTCAACTTCTTCCTCTGAATCCTAACAGCGCCTTTGAGGTGGGAAGTAGTTCATTTCTTCTGATAATGGAGCAATAAATTCTCCTTCTCCGAAAGATTCAGATGTCCTGTGGCTGCTATCTCCCTGCGAGTCCTCTCTTTAAAAAAGTATCTTACATAGCATAGTTTCTATTTTAACATTTTGTTACAACCTAAAACTATATTTAGCACACTACTTAAGAGAATTAATACAGCATTACTTTCTAACACAACACATATAATATTCATTTTAATATTTGCGAAAAGCCAATCATAAAATACGCATTTTTTACAAAGGTAAAGGAGACTTTTTAATTTCTGACTCTAACATTTATAGATTTCTATTAGTGACAGTGGATTGGAGGGTGAAAGTGGCACCTCTCTAATGACACTGGACGAACTAACAGTTTATTAAATTTTTTCTCTTCCATAAAAGAATGCAAAAAAATAAGTAATTTACATAAAGTTTGTGAAACAGTTTGTTACAAAAATGTAAACATCAGAAGGCTTAGAAAATCTTAAAAGATCAGGGTGACAGTGTTGTTCAATGGGCTCTTCTTGGAGAGAGGTGGGAGTCCCTGTCTCCCCTCCACATGTGTTGTGGGGTCATCATAGAGGAGAACATGTGCTCAGTCTGGCACTTTTTAAAAGAAAAATTAAAAAAAAAAAATTGTATAACTGGGCATCCAACCTGTGAGAGTTTACAGCTGTGGGTTCCCATTTATGGGAGGTTTTCTCTTCTCCACACCGTTGCCCCCAAAAGCCTCAGGATTTGGGTCCCCTCCTCAGCACCTCCTGCAGGGTTGGCACCTTGTCCTGTTCCCTCCCTCCAGATTCTCAGTTTAGTTTCAATTTCTTCTTTACTAAATGTAAGACATGTCACTTCAATGTAAGAACTTGTTCACTAGTGCTTCCTTTACTAAATGGACTACAATATCTCTGCTTGCAGGCCCAGGCAGGGCTGTTTTATTGGTTGAAATTTGGTTATGTCTTTCATCATTATGGATTGTTTTCTTTAAAGAGGTTCTCTCACTGAAATACAATTTATAATTGAAGCCTGACTTTTTGATGCGGAAGCAATAAAGGTGAAAGCAGGAGTGGATTTAGAAATTTAAAGATATTTTTAATAATACTTTTTTTTTTGTTTGCTAATGTCTACATATTAATTAAATGTACATATCATTCAGAATGCTGTTTCTTCTCAGAGGACTGGTGGGGTTGCACTTCTGCCTGGCTGGGCTGAGGATTGTCACCACCATTTGTCACCACCATTGCTGGTGTCTTTGTGAAAAGGAGATTTCTCAAACCTCATAAACCTTTGGCCCACTGGCCACGGGATGGTTCTGTGTGGGAGACGTGCTTGGGAATGGTTGGTGGCTCTGAGGGGTCACCTGGATTGTCACTGCCAGCTCGGCAGAGTCTCTCAGATGTGGAAGCAGTCACAGAGTCACAGAACCATGGAATATCCCGAGCTGGAAGGGACCCACAGAGCTCAGCAGTCCAGCTCCTGGTCACCCCAACAATCCCACCCTGTGTGGAGCTCTGGCAGCCTCAGGGCTGTCTCCATTCCCTGGGGAGCCTGGGAAGTGCCAGCACCCTCTGAGGGAAGAACCTTGCCCTGAAATCCAACCTAAACCTCTCCTGGCACAGCTCCAGCCTTTCCCTGGTTCTGTCCCTGTCCCAGAGAGAAGGAGCTGCAGCCCTTGGTGAGGTCTGATCTCAATGTGTTCTGCTCCAGCTGAACAACCCAAATAACCTCAGCCAGCCCCTGTGTGACCCTCCAAACCCTTCACCATCATCTCCTTTAAATCCTTTCTAACACCTCTTAAATGCAGAACAGTATTAAGAAATTATTACACTTTAAAGAGGAACGCCAAGAATTCAGACAGAATCCCTGGCAGCAATTTTACAGAGAACTCCATGATTAAAACTCGAGCATGATGGGTAGTGCTGAAGTTTCCACTGCAGTGGAAAAATATCAGTGCTCACCTGATGAGCAGGTGGGGACTGGCAGCAAGGAAAGCAGGGGTGGTGCAAGAGAGAGCTGCAGGAGCTGGGTGAGAACCCCTGGATGTGTGACACGTTCCTGCTCTCGGGCCAAACACCCACCTCAAGTATGTGCTGGTGGCAGGTGGCCCTGGATGAGGACACAGATTAGGAGCTGTGGCACAACAGCCTTACTGGAAAGGAGCTGGGCAGGGTGGCAGGAACCACCCTGGGCATGAGCCAGCAGGGTGCTCTCCCTGCAAGGATGGAGAACCCCAGCCTGGGCCACAGGAGAGGGCAAGGGCCACCAGGCTGGTGTCAGCCCTGCCAAAGGAGGTGACATCTGGATGCTGTGTCCATTGTGGAATGCCTGGTGAGAGGGATGTGAGGATGGTGACCTCCACAGAGGCTGAGGAGCTGTCAGTGACCTGCAGCAGGAGGTGGATGGAGCTGAGCTTGCTGGCTCTGGCCATGCAGTGAAGTTTGAGGGGCTCTCCTTGACCCTGATGCCTTGAGAAGGCTGGCCTAGGAGAGAGGCCAGACAGAGTTAAAGAATAAAGCAGGAATTTATTAAAAGGATCTCCTCCATGGATCCACCTTGGGCAGCACAAGAGCCCAGCCAGGGCTGACCCAAGGTGAACCAAAATGGGCACAAAATGCACAACCAGTCATGGGATCTGTCACTTTGATCAGTTCTGCTCCATTTGCATCTTGGGGTTCATTGTCCAATTATAACTTCACGTTATGCAGTCTCATCCTGTTTGTTTTTCTCTCTTCATTCCACGGTTGTTTGTGCTCTTGGGCCTGAGATTTGGATCATTTGTCCTTGGTCCCCAGCTAGAGCAGGAATTGTTTTGTCTCCCTGCTCTGTGCACAGAGCTCACCATCCCTTAATGTGAAG